ACCATTATATGGGGGCTACACCAATTCAGAGTTGTACAACAAGGTTTGTTTGCCTGATGTCTTCGGAGGAATTAAAAAACCGAACATGAGCGAACGAATCGTTGTGCCGCATTAGAATTGCAGCTCTCACACTTCGCTTAAAACGTAACATTGATGTTGTTCCATCAATGTTACGTATAACCCGTAACATTGCTATTGAAGCTTTTAAATTCCAAGTTTTGGGTTAAGCACATGAACATGGGTATATTAGGTCGTATATTAGAAGAGTGAATATGTTAAAGTTGTACTAAACATTTTTTTTATAAAATTTCTCAAACATTGTTCTTATTTGATTTTATTTTCTGTGGAAAATTAATAATTATTTTCTACATTTTCTATTTTCAGGTAAAATGCAAAATTAGAATATCTCATGTATATGCATGTAAGTACTACATTGAAATATATTACATCTAATTATTATTTTCTGAGTTATGCATCGTTAGGGTTAATATAAGTGTGCATAATTGGTAGATTGTTACAATTTCCACAAAATGTTTGTAAAATGCAATTATATAATTAAATTTTATTTAATATAATTCCGCAACGTTTATAGTCAGATGTACAAATACATACACAAACGGAATGTTTGATGTGTGAAGGGATGTTAATGAAAAATGTTAAAACAAATTTTCGCCCAAAATACTTTAAATTAATTAAAACAATGAACGTAATTGTTGAAAACTAAATGTAAATATATACAAATAGTATCACAATTTTTGGGTATAGTAGAAAAACAAATATGAAGTACAAAATTGGTGGAAAGATCTTCTCAGGCAAAAAGCTTCATTCGTTTCTAATTTATTCATCTATACACAAACTCAAAAAATAAATTAAGAATTGTGCATACAAAATTGACGTCTCTAATTTCAAAGAATGAAGATTGAGAGTCTGATTTAATTCAAGGGAAACAAAAGCTAAACTATTACCCACATCTTCATTCATGTTGGAAAAATACAACTACAGAACCCAAACAACTTCCACTATGTTTCCATTATGCATATCAATCTAAAAGCCAATAAGGGACAACCCCTCCATTCTCGTTAAAAAAACGACTGTTTTATTTTTATTTAATTTAGACCTTTAACTTCTCAGGAAAGTCTCCTTAAAATTTCAAGTGAAAATCCTAACTACTCTTGAAGATGTAGTCGATTCATTGCGCCAGTATCAAGCAAGTATCACCAAACTGTGGTACAGGGTATTATGTCTTTCTGCATATGTTTGTAACAGGCGAAAATAATCGAGATAGACCCATGGTTCCTTTTGAAAATATGCATAGAATCACTTTCTGAGTCGATGTATGTATGTCCGTCCGTCTGTCCATGTTAAATTGTAAATAAAGTACACGTCTATTTATGACCCGAATTGGATGAAATTTGGCACAGCTCATTTGTTTGACCCAAGGACGAAACCAATTGAAATTGGGGAAAATCGGTTCAGATTTAGATATAGCTCCCATATATATTTGCGTCCGATTTAAGGTAAATTGTTTACCAAAGTCCCTATATATCTTTCGATTTCCACGAAATTTGTCATAGCGTACTAAATTAAGTCTACAGTGAAGTGTGCTAAGTTTCATGAAAATCGGTTCAAATTTAGATATAGCTCCCATATATAGTTTCTCCCGATTTTAGGTAATTGGTGCACCAAAGTCCCTGGAAATCTTTTCATTTGCACGAATTTTGGCACAGCGTACTGAATTAAGTCTAGAATGATGTGTGCAAAGTTTCGTGAAAATTGGTTCAGATTTAGATATAGCTCTCATATATATTTTCTTCCGATTTTATGTAATTTGTGCACCAAAGTCCCTATTAATATATCGATTTGAACGAAATTTGGCACAGCGTAATAAATTAGGTCTAGAATAATGTGTGTTAAGTTTCGTAAGAATCGGTTCAGATTTAGATTTAGCTCACATGTACATTTTCGTCCGATTTTATGTAACTGGTGTACCAAAGTCCCTATGTACCTTTCGATTTGCACGAATTTTGTTGGGTACTGAATTAACTCCAAAATGATGTTGCTAAGCTTTGTGAAAAGATCCATAACTAGGCCGATTGACACAACGTACTGAAGTAATATATATATTATTCTTTGGCAAGTTTCCATGAAATCGGTTCAGATATAGATATATAACAAAAACGCGTCGTCTGTTAGGATACATATGTAGAATATATCCAAAGTGGTGAAGGGTATCATATAGTCGGCCCAGTCCGACTTTACTACTTTCCTTACTTGTTTTTTTTCTTAAAAGCTCCCATACAAATGACCCGTATAATTTCGAACTTCCTACCCCAGTTTTCCAACCTGAGTGCCTGTAATGTGGAATACTATTTTTCCTGAACATGAACAATAAAAACATAGTCCATATATATAAAGGTCCCGACCGATTTAAGGAATTTCGAATGCACACCACTTGGTGGAGGGTATAAAAAATGTTGCCCGACCGAAATTAACGAAGTTTTTTCTTTTTTTCATATATCCCTTTACAGTAATAAACAACTCTTTTCTCAACTCGGTTTCCTCAGTTTTGGGAAGAATGATGAATACATACGTGTTTGTTTTTGGCAAAAATATCAAGCACAATCATGGATGTGAGCTAATATAACCAATACCCCAATAATGGATCGTGCAAAATCCATTATTGGGGTTTCCACACTTTTATGCGTTTCTGAAGAATTACTTCGATCAAATGGCGTAAAAGTTCAAGGAAGTGTTGAACTTTCCACCTTGTGGCTAAAATTCATCATACACAACGCCATTGCAGCAAAACCTTCAGATTTAACTGAAATTTACGTGCTTTTTGGGTCATCTTCTAGGTCTTCATTAAAACTGTAATATTGAAATTTAACTTATATTCTGTTAATAATTTAAACGAACTGTCAATGCAAAGTGGCTGACATTTCCAACATATATAACATGACATGTACCAATTAACACATTAAAAACAATCGACATTTGAACATAAGTAACTTACGAAACGGTAAAAAAAATCTCTGGGCTATAATCAACATTTTCCCTTTACAAAATTATCGAACCACAATTTTTAATATCCCGTATTAAAAGCACTAATTAATTTTATTTAAATACAATAAAAAACCAGTGAGCGGAGCAGTATAGTCGGACGGGGCCGACCATACTTCCATGAAAATCTAACTTTTTGTGGTTCTATATTCTGAGATTTGGCAATATTTCGCGATCTTTGCACACTTTTGACTGGCTAGAGGTCAGAAAATGTTATTAATAATCAGTACAGCCCCTCTAATTACTTGTCCAGATTCCCTTCGCCGTGGGTTGTGTTGTGATGTTCGGCTTTCGACTCGAAAAGTACAAATAATTAAATTTTCGGTCCACTTCATCCGAAAAGTTATTATCTGATCATCACCTAACATTTTAGGCGTTGTCCTTGACCATAACTGGAACCTCATGGAACATTTCAAAGCGATCAGCGCTATATTTCCGCCCTCCAGTGTGGTAATAGGTTACTAAATAATATATGAATACGTAAGTACCTGTAAAGGTACCTGTAAAAGTTAGGGTCCATTTGACCCGCTAAATATTGACCGATCTTTATCAAAACAGGCATGCTTATTCTTTGACCCGATCCCCTTCTCCATGCAAAAATTCGCGGTGTTTGGGCAATAATTGTGGCGTCTGGAGCGACCAGAAAATCAGACAAAAATTTAGTTTTTGGTCCATTTCATCCCCTAAATATTAACCGATCTTTTCGAAAAACAATAGGGGTCTTCATTGGCCAGAACCCATCCTACATGCAAAATTTCGTGAAGATTGGTCCATAACTGTGGCCTGTATCGTGTTTACAAATTATAATGGACAGGCGGAAGGACGGACGGACACACATGTCTAGATCAACTCAGCTAGTCGAGATATGACGATCGGTATACTTAAAGGTGGGTCTAGGACCAATATTTCGCGGCGTTACAAACTTTTGGGGCTGCACAAAGCTATAATACCCTGACAACATAGTTGTGTAGGGTATAATAATTTGCCCATTATAACCTCATTATCAGCTACTTACTAAAAATGTACTTTACAATTTATTCCCCAATCAATAAATAATTCAGAAACCGACTTTCTATTGGCCAAAAATATATAGCGATCATAACATAATTATGTGTCCAAGTGTGTGTGTGTATGTGCGTATAACATTTTTCAATTAAAAACTAGACGACACTTTTTTTCATAAAAAACGTTTTTTAATTGAACGCAGTGCTAATTAATGCCATAAAACCAGATGAAAGCGTACGTAGTTGTAATTTTTTTTTGTTGTCGTTGCTCTTCAACATCTTTCTTGTTACTCAAAAGTGTTTCGCTGAAAACTTGTTGTTGAGATGAAAGCAAGAAATTATTTTATCCGTTACACTGACCTCAAAAAACTTTAAAACTGAAAGAAACACCACCAACAACAACAACGAGAGAAGATACTCAGCATCTGTTGGTGGAAAGATTGAGTTTTGTCTGTCTCTACAATACAGGTTGTCAACATTTGTCGGAGCCGTGTGTGTGTTTCCTCTCCTACTAGAGACACCTGGTCTTGTAAAACTATGAAAACACACAAAACAGGATTCAGATGAGAATACTACCGTATCGTACTGTTCGATTTTCCGTTTTTAACCTACTTCCAAGGCCAAACAAACGTTTGATTTATATAAAGAAGAATTTGTGTTGAGGTTAGTAGGAAATATGTCTGTCTAGTTATGCGTCCTCTTGTCGATTCTATGTTCGCGTGTGTGTGTTTCCCATATCCCAAAGCTAAAACAAATTCCTGTGAAGTTGTTCCAATACTATTCCTCTCATGCGTAAAACTGAATTTTCAATTGAGCGTCGTTGTTGTTGTTTTCCTCATCTCGATATCACTTGTTTTAATTGCATATAAATTGTTCAACACCAATGACGTTTAAACATGTTGTTGTTCTTTCTTTTCGTGGTTTTCTTTTACTTACATTCTTCCAAAGCACGTTGCATATCCTGAATGGAGTCTTTGGGAACCTTGAATTGCAGAGTATGTGTGCCAAAGAAACGTGCAATACGTTCCACCAATAATGTATCGACCTCATTTTCACGTGCTTCATTTTCTTCGGGCAGGGTAATTTCATTCAATGATCTTCCAACGGGAATGTCATCGGTTTTCACTAATGAAATACCTTCGGTAAGTTTAACATCACCGTTTTCTGTGTCGAAATAGTGGAGGGCACGTTCCTGGAATTTAAAAATAATATTGGAAATTAAAATTTCATTAATGAAAAAAGAAAAAAAAAAATTATTTAACTTTGGTAGAAATATTGAATGGAACGATTTTTTTTACAAATTTATTTGATTTTTATAAAAATTATTCGAACTTCAATGTAAATAATAGGTGCTAAATGTTGGCCCTAAATTCAATATTTCAATTTCCGAATGTTACTGATATTTGATTATATAATATCTTCATATTTAAAAAGTTGCGCCAGATCACAAAACTAACCTCGATTTTTGGAAGACAGTTAGGATATTGTCATTTAAAGTCTAAGGACAACTTTCTACCATTACTCTTAAAACCAAGCGTTAATCACCCATGATGTTTGATAATCGCCATTATATTGTCCTTTGAATAAAATTTCCATTTTCGAACATTTAATCCTATTGAGAGCTTAAATCGACATATAGAATAAATTGAGTTTCCATATATCCATGTCGACAGGAAGTATTTGATAATCTTTCCGAAAGTACAGCTAAAAGACTAGATGGTAATTTGTTTCCCAAAGGTCTACATCGTAACCTCGATCTAAAATCCCCGTGATTCTAGCATAATTATACGATACAGAATAGCTTAAAGGCAAGAGAGCGACAATGATATTGTCCTCTGACTGCAATTTAAAATTGTCCTTTGGTTTAAAGTTTGGATCCAGTTGATGAACATTGCGAACCTATACAAAAAATAAAGATTCCATATAAGAGGTCCAATCAAAAAGAAGATCTGAACAAAACATGAATAGTTTATTAATTTATCTTGTCCAAGTTGAAATAACCCCCTCTAAATTCTCGAAACACTCCTAAACCAGGCTTTGAACTATTTTTCCGGTATCGTAGTAAGAAGACTTCCCCTTTAATCTTAAGTTTTGGGAAGAGAAACAAATCAGTGAGGGTCAAGTCCAAGTGGGTGTATATTGTGGTTTAGGCATTGGCCACGAGCATCGATATGTGACCTGGTGCCTGATGGGTTTTTCCAAAACTACATGCGTTTCTGACGAATTGCTTCGGGTGAACGGCGAATATCTTCAAGGTTGTATTTCTCATTCCTAGCAGACTGACAGGTATTTTTACAGGATATCTCAATCTGTAGGTAAAATTGAGTGCGTGGAAAGCAGCTGGTGCAGAGCGTGTGGAGAAGACAGCGAAACGTTGGCAAATTTCCTATGCAACTGTGTAGATCGTTCGATCCTTCGAACTCAATCCACGAAATAATATACCTAGGTGTTGTGAAGACTTCATTAAGAACACGACATTTCCAGAATCTCAGAGAGACAAAATCCCAAGATGGGGTTTTACTAACTTTAGTTCCTTTTTATAGTGCCACAGCAGGTCTTTTCACTAGCTTAATTGTATATCCTATAAATGGGCATGTGGCGATATAAACCACACCTCTAATCAACCTATCCTATTCCTTCTTGAACGTACGATCTTGTCGTAAAAATTCATGATGGACCACACCATTGTAGTCAGAGAAAATCGTGAGGAAAACTCTCATATTTGAGCCAACTTGACGTATCCTATTCCTTCTTGAACGGACGATCTTGTCGCAAAAATTCATGATGTAGTCAGAGAAAATCATCGATTTCATCCATACCAATACATTAAACTTGATGATGTGGTCTATAAGGTACCTCCCCAGATTGTCAACTCTTTGATAAAAATATATGCAAAATATAAAGCGTATTGGGAAACCTGGGCGGTGAAAATTTGACCGACCTCAGTATTTATGCCAACAAGAGACTTAGTTTATTGACTTTATAGCCATGCCCATCCTGTGTGGTACCTCCCTCACTTCATCAACTGGCACAAGTTTGAATAAAAATGCTTGACAGTTACTAGATAATAATTCCAACCTTAGCAAACAAACAAAGCATACAAATGGCAGGATAATTGTACTACATAGGCTGAGGGTATATATTTGTCGGAAAAAATTGTTACTTGTTTAGAAACGATATTATTTTCTGAATATATATGTTCTCCTATACCAATGGTCTGTGAAACAAAAACTATTCAAGGAACTAAATAAATACTATTCAAATTAATAAAATTTCATTGACATCATACATTTATAAATGCGATCTCTATGATCTGAATACAATTTTTTGAATTAAAAAAAAACAAAAACAAAAAAAAACCAGTGAGCGGAGCAGTATAGTCGGACGGGGCCGACCATACGATACCCTACACAACTACCACGAACTCTAACTTTCTGAGGATGTTTATTCTGAGTCTGAGTAGTATTTCGTGATATTTGCCCCCTGTTGTCCGATTAGAGGTCAACAACACCTCTTTCTTACTTTTTTCGAATATTCAGTACAGTCCTTCTAATTACTTGTCCAGATTACCTTCACGGTGGGTTGTGTTGTGATTTTCGGATTATACTGTACTCGAAAACACACAAAAAATTATGTTTTCCGTCCATTTCATCCCAAAATTGTATCCTGATCATCACCGAAAATTGTAGGCGTTGTTCTTGACTATAAATGGAACTTCATGAAAAATTTCAAAGCCATCAGCGCGATATTTCTCCCTCTAATGTGGTAATGGGTTACTAAATAATATCTGAATACGTAATCACCTGTAAATATTTGACTGTAACTCCCACATCTGAGTAGATACATCACTATATTTGGTATCAATTTAAAGGTCAACCACTCCTCTTGGATATGCTATCAACTCCTGGGGTCTACATCCTCCAGGAGTAAATATATATGCCATAGAATACAAATTTTGCCATTTTTCACACAAAAGTCAGGGTCCATTTGACCCGCTAAATATTGACCGATCTTTATCAAAACATACATGCTTATTCTCTGGCCCGATCCCCTTCTCCATGCAAAATTTCGCGGTGTTTGGGCCATAATTGCGGCCTCTGGAGCGACCAGAAAAACCGACAAAAATTTAGTATTTGGTCCATTTCATCCCCTAAATATTAACCGATCTTTTCCAAAAACAATAGGGGTCTTCATTGGCCAGAACCCATCCTACATGCAAAATTTCGTGAAGATTGGTCCATAACTGTGGCCTGTATCGTGTTTACAAAATATAATGGACAGACGGACGGACGGACGGACGGACACACATGTCTAGATCGACTCAGCTAGTCGAGATATGACGATCGGTATACTTAAAGGTGGGTCTAGGACCAATATTTCGCGGCGTTACAAACATTTGGGGCTGCACAAAGCTATAATACCCTGACAACATAGTTGTGTAGGGTATAAATATTCCCAAAAAATAATTCAGGATGCGTGTTCTCAGGCTTTGTATATTGGAATATGCATGGCAAATATTCATCTTTAGGATTCTTGATCGTGTGATGAATATAATAACCCTATAACTAAATATTTTCCAATTGTGTTTTAAAGTCGCAAATTTAATATAATTACTGCAACATCCTTCAACATTAATTACAGTTCGCCTTTCGTTTAATATTTTCCATTCTTAAAGCACACAACGTCCTTGTAAATTACAATTCATTTATGCACATTTGCCACATTAGCTGTCATTACGATGGATTATCCTTTACACAAGCTCATTTTACAATTTTGCATACGTATATGTATATTTTTGTACGTTTATATTATTAACAACACTGCTTACCTTAAGGCACAATACCACTGATCGATCACCACATTCTTTAACCATTTTTAAAGCACTTGTCAGCAAACTATCGGCCTCGGAGGCTGAGTGGGTGGCAGCGACAGATGTTGCCACCAGGGCAAATAAACACACAAATTTGAACATGATTGATTGTTATCTTGAATTAAAAGAAAATTAAAAATTTATTTTTTGATACGCTTATGATGATAACGGTAATCCACAGATATCCTTTAGTTTTTTATCGTAGTTGTGGGTTCAATTATTTTTTCTTATTAATTAAGTTTTTTTTTATATTTATTTTTTTAAATGAGCACTATTAGTCCGTTTCGGTATTAATTTAATTTTTTCCTTATTAAAAATGACAAAACAAACAAAAAAATTAATAATAATCCACTTACAGCGATCGATTGATCGGTCAGAAGGCAACCGGTAAACTGTGACTAGAAAACGCTCGTTGATCGAGTTTTATTCCCAACATACAAACTCAAGTCATACGCACGACAAAAACAATAATATAGCGCACAAAAGCAGCGTCAACGGCAACGACATCGACACCAATGATGATGGCAGCCGTAGTTGAAGCGGCAGACGCAGCAGTCGCTCCCAAAGAAAGCAGTAGATAAATAGTTAGCTAAGTGTAAACGAAACTGTGCCACAAAAGTCACTGCAAAAATACTTGTTTGTCACACTGTAAACTTGTTGTTGGCCAATACATAGTTTGTATTACAAGCCACCACCATCATCGCCAGCGTTGTTGTCGACATGTTAGCATGTTGTCTATGGTGAGTGTTGTTTGTATTGTGGCTGGTTGTTGCTGTTGACATCGTTGAGAAAGCAACGAAAGACACATGCACACCATCAACGACAATAAACAATTTCCATACTCGGTATTACCTTGGCATTGCCATCTCTGCCGTGGCCAAGAGAGCAAACATTTGTTTACAGTTGCAGTAACATTTAGCAGTTAGCTGCTGCTATTTATTGTCACAGTGTTTTGAGTTACGATTAAATACGAATGGAATTTGGTGTGGATTTTTGTGACATATATAGTTTTTTTATCTACCTTAATTGCCTTTATCATCCAATGTTAGTTATCTAAGGAGTCTCTGAATCACTGTTCACGTAGCGAACATGGTTTTAAATAATAAATATAGTGAATGTCTTGCTGCGGGTCTCTTGTGTAGAAGAGAGAGCATTTAGTTAAACAGGGATCTATTTTTGTCTACAGTCCATTAAGATAAGAGATTATTTTGGTTGAATATTTGTACACAATAATAAGATAGGAGTTTTCTATTGCCACATGTGGTATGTTTGGGTGAGATTACGGGGAGTAATCTTCACTACAGACTGATAAGCATGTGTAGCGTGCTTGCCACATGTGAGATAAAGAATTGTGTGTGTCCACTCCATGTGTTATGGCAGATTCACTCTCTCTCTCTCTCTCTCTCTCTCTTTTACACATTAGTCTAAGATAGGTTAAGTCATATTGTAATATTTTGTTCTTAAGAAACACTTTTAATATTAATAAATTAGTGTGTAAATGCACCAAAAACAATACAGAAGTGCTTTCACTCCGCGGACAGTATCCGCGTAAGATCCCTAGTTTTCCAATCACTGAACATTGTTTAAAATATATAATGAATTTTGAATATAGGGTTAGAGTAAGTGATGGAAATGTGGTATATCCATGATCGAAGCAGTCGTAACATCGCCCAGGAGCTAAAAATCGGCCATAAAACAGTTTTAAACCATTTACACAAAACTAGATTAAAAAAGAAGCTCGATGTTTGGGTGTCACACCAATTAACATAACAAAAAAATAAGATGGATCGAATTTCCATCTGCGAAGCCTTGACCAAACGGAATGAGATATGTGAATGGATCCCATACGATAACCCTGTGCGAAAACGATCGTAGTCAAAGAGCGGTGAAGCTCCTCAAACGGTGACCAAACCAGGACTAACGGCCAGGAAGGTTCTTCTATTCATTTGGTGGGACAGGAAGTAGATAATTTATTATGAGTTGGACAAATCCTAAATTCTAATCTCTATTGTCAACAACTGGACCGTTTAAAGATAGGAATTGACCAGAAACGGCCATAAGTGGCAAACAGGAGAGGAGGCGTGTTCCACCAGGACAATGCAAGAAACTTCGGGTGCTTGGTTGGGAAGTTTTAATGCATCCGTCATACAGTCCGGACTTGACACCATGCGATTATCATATTTTTTTCTGCATTGCAACATTTATTTAATGATAAAAAATTGGTATCTAGGGAGGATTGTGAAAATCGACTACTAGAGTTTTTTTTGCAAATATGTAGAGAGCAGGACTTCTTTGAGGCATTATGAAGTTACCTTTAATATGGCAAAACAAATTATAAAAATAATAATGGTCTTTTTTCCTCGATCTAATATTAAAATTTTTTTGTTGAGGGACATGTAGGTCATAATAAATAATATCAAATTTATGTTACCTGCGATATTTATACTCTTAACCTTATGTCTAATGTGGGTACATACACTTTGCTAAAGCTAATATGTGACTCATAGAAATATTGGTTTTAGACCCCCATGGACCAAATGTGTTTCAGACAATATTGATTCGATTTACAAATATCCTTCGGTATGTCTGGTATGAACGATAACTTTCGAATGGAATAATCCATTTAATTCAAACTTTGCACATCGTAATATTTCTTTTAAACTGAAACCAAGTTCGGTCTACTTCTGTAAGTATACCCCCGGTATACTTTTGTTAGTACCTCCCCCACAAAATGGTCATATTTTTGCTGCAATTTAATTTTATAATATCATACGGACTTACGGACTATTCAATTTGAAATAAACTATGCACCACCTATTATCTTTACCATGCCTAGAGTAAATACGGAATTGGACCCATTGGTCTCTTCTTTTAGTACCTCTTCCATAAAGCACCAAAATAATATAAATCCGATGTCCGATTTAAACTCAAATGAAGATGGGGAAACCCTAATCCTTCTGGTAAATCCTCCACTAAACGCGAAGCGAGCATCCGACTGCAATTATACTTTGCAAAGCCTAATATTTTAACCAGGTCTTTTTATTTTTGGAAGATGGGACTTATCGGTCCACTCCTAGTACTTCCCCACAAAGTGTAAAAATTTTGAAACTTTGTAAATCTTAAATGAAACGAATGAAATATCCAAATTTCATTCAAATGTTGTTCATCGCAATATTTTTACCTAGCCTAGATAGAAACCAAAGAAAAGGGTCCAGTCCCTGGTACATCCCCCACAATTGGTCAACATTATGAAAATTTGTTAACACTAGAACGCCGAAGGCGGTCATTTTGACCGCTTTCCAATTTCAAGTACAAAAGCAACTGTGCATTTAATGACACATTTATTTTAAATTTGGTGATTTTTTATAATAACCGTAATTCTATGAGATACAAAAAGTCTCCAAATTTTTAAAAAAAAGTGTCACTAAATGCACACTTGCTTTTTTACTTGAAATTGGAAAGCGGTCAAAATGACTGCCTTCGGCGTTCTAGTGTTAATTCAATAACAATGATGTGGAATGTCCTATTTGATGCCAATTATACAAAATGTAATATTTCTTTCAATCTTACTTCAAGTTGTAAAGAAGATCATATTATTTGAATTGGTATTTGTATGTTACTCTCCCACTACAGAGAATACGTGTGGTTTGATTTCACGAAAAAGTAAAAGGGCAGAGCAACCCTGCTGTATTATGCTGGAAGATTTGGTCCACTCCTTCTGGTACCTTTCCCCATAAATGTCAACTTTTTGAAAATTTGGTAATCCAATTTCAAGATAATAAAATGTCTGCTTGGATCCAAACTAAGCAAATCGTAATATTTTTCCAACCCTACATTCACTTCTAAGAAGGGCTTTATAGGACAAAATCATCTGGAGCCTTTGCAAATTGAAATTTTCAAACCAAAGGTTGAGGGTATATAATTGTCGGCAACGCCGACTGATATTTTTTACTTGTATAAATATAAACATAGTCTTAAGGCTAAAATGTATAGTAAATCCTGTCAAGCTGGTTAGTGCGAAAGGAGTTACCGATATAATCCATTCATTGCACATCGTAATATTTCCTCCAGGCCTATATCAAGCTCGAATATAGATATAATAAGACCACAACTTCTGGAACCTCATCCAAAAATGATCAACATTTAGCTGATTACATTTGAAATGAACCAATTTGGTTCAGTCCGTAAATCTAGCGTTAAATATAGTGGATTTAGTTTTTCTGCAGGGACATAATGTAAAAAAAGTACGGAATGATGTGTACAAGGTTCTCTTTCAGCCCATATATATATTTGTTTGTTGTTTAGCCAAAATTTTATATTTTGCGTGCTCATTTTCTTAAAAATGCCTGCAAACAAATAACCATATTGACCCACTGTACATTCCACTTTTCAGGATTTAGGGCAAGTTTTTCAACCGAATTGGATAGAAAATGATATTTTGGGTTCCCTTTGTGCGTCAACTATTTTGGTATAGCCCCAAAATAAAATATTTTAATATCTGATTTTTTATATAAATTCTAATTCGATCATTAGCTTCGATGCTTTTACTATATAACCTAATTTTAATATCTCCAAATATAGCGGCACTAATTGATTTTAGCTGAAAAAAGCCCTAGTCGCATTTTAATCCAAAGTAGATTGATAAAATACCTTTTCTGAAGATAATACAGAACACCTTGATCGCTGAGATGTGGATTTATGCTTGTTTTTAATTCAAAACTTATCAAAAATTAAAAAAAAAACTCTCACACACATTGGGATATGTCTGGTGTCGAATAATTTTATTTCAACTTAGACTGAGATTCAAACTCCAGCTAAATTGAACGACTCTATTCTCATTGAGTAGGAATCTCAATAATAATTTGATGTAACTCATATAAAATTCTAGTCAAATTATCCTGTATGATTCGCTGTGATTCCACATTTTGGGATATTTTTAACTTGCATTTACCGATCACATTTATTAAAACGTCTTTAAAATTATTATAGCTGAGATTTATCGAAAGGGAAAATTATGTTCTTCGATGGACTTTAAAAGTTACCGCGATCACAAAAAATATTGCATTTCAATTTGTCGTTATATGGAAAAATATCAATTCATAATT